AACCCTATCCGTACGTCGTGTTTTACTATCGTATCCATACGACGTGGGGAACTCTGTGCCACCACTTTCCAAAGAGGAAATTTACTCGATAACCCGATCCGTACGCTTTTGCTGTTTAGTAGAATAGCAGTGTGTCAAAATGATGTTAGAAAAATACTGAAAGTTTCAAAGAGATCTTCGTACTAGAAGTTTTCTAAACTGTGAGGAATACAACCCCCGGGGTACAAAATGACCCCAGGGCGTACAGATAGGGTTCAGGCTTGGCATGGTGCCAACACTGGTCTCATGACTCGAGACCCCCTCCACACCTTGTAGCCGCTGTAGCTGCAGATTTTGTTCCCTCTACTTTAGCCACTCGTTTATTCTCATCTTAAACGAAAACAAACAACAACAGCAGCAATGGCCAACTCAGTTTTAGTTTTAGGAGAGGGTTTTTTCTGTGCACGCAACTGCATAAGGTCACATGAGCGCAACCCAGCTCAACAAAACCCAACACACAAACAAAAAACAATAACGCCACCAACAACAACAAAAGAACAAGGTCTTGAAACATAAAAATATAATACATGTATTCTATTTCCCAACATTGGCCCCTTACTGATTACCCCCCCCCAAAAAAAAACAAAAAAAACAACAACAAACACACACACAAAAGCACAAACAATTAAATAAAAAGAAAAAATTGGGAGACCAAAACATCTACCTCAATGACAAAAAAAATTTCTTTTTGAGCCAAAGTAAAAATCAAAAACAAGGATATGACCTATTCTCTGACACAAAATCAAGTTGCATTTCTCCGTCTGAGGCCTAACATTAACTATGGAACATTACAGGACTACACGTAGCCAGCACTTATCACCACCATAGCATTGAACAGAGGGGCGAGAGCCCAGCTGTTGCTGGATTGATGACAACATCAACTCTTACTTCTCAATCTGTTTGTCTTTCTCCACCAGCGCATCCTCCAGGGCAGATAGAGTACCATCGCTGGGCGATTCGGTGAATGCTGAGGTGAGGCGGATGCGAGCTTGAGATAGCTGGTCTTCCTTCTCCCTGATGGTATCCTCCAGGCCCTCAATCTATAGAAAAGGAAAAGACAAGTCTGTGGAGCCAGTCCATTTCATTGCATAGAAGGTTGCACATATTTTTTAGACCGTTTACATTTTGGCCAGTATTTGGTAACTTTTAAGCACAAGGGGGCTATCCCCCAAAAATGCTGTTTTGAGAAAATCGAAGGTTAAGTTTTTGCCCCTAGTTTAGTTTCTTTAAAAGACAAGGAGAGTTTCCTCTATAACCAAACAAATATACACACCAATGAAACCAAACTTCTCTTACACGTAGGGCAATGCCCACTTTTGGTGTAGGTCAAGACTTCTGGAAACCCCGAAATCTGGGTTAGCCCGCTTGTCCTTAAAACTGACCATTTCTAAAGACTATTGAAAATGGAGAGATCGAATCACATAGAAAAATGCACAATATTTGCAACTTAGTAAATACATATTATGCATGTGTATGTGTTGTGTGTGCACGTGTATGTGTGTGAAAATATTGGTATGTATATGTTTGAGTAAGGATGGGGGGAGGAATGTATGAGAGCATACATTAGATTATATTCTAGTCTAAGAGAGTAATGTCAAATGCATCATTCTCCAAGTCTTTTTGACACAATTCCAGGTAACAATCAAGCTGTAACAGAATCTGCACTTTCGCTATCACTACTTTTCATCTTTCTTAAATATATGTCTAATAAATTGACCTCCTAACAGAAAAATGACTCAACATAATAATTTCTGGACCTTTTAATGATTTGGGGACTCAAACAGCCAACGCCAGAAAAAACAAAGATAAAATTCCAAGATGAACCAATGTGGCTGACCTTCCGCTGCAGGTTGTTGACCCTGTTGACCTTGACCTCTAGCTGGTCTCGAAGTTCCATGACCTCGAGCTCTACACGTCGTTTCTCTGCCTGACTCGCCTGGCACTCTTTGCTCTTGCGTTCTATCGTGTCCTCTTTGGTTTTAAGCCGGTCCTGAAGACCCTCCATCTGGAATCATCATCATGGAGAGAGAAAACAAATCTGAATGAAACATCGAATCATTGAATGAATAATGTAAGAAAACCCCCCCGGGAGTCCACAAATTAGACTAATAGCATGACCCAAATCTTGGCCGAAATAAGCCGTCCTCTCCAAAAACCCCCCCCCCCCCCCAAAAACAAAACTCCGAATGATTGGTTTTGGACCCCTCTGTTGAACAAGGGTATGGAGAATTAAGGAGGTACAGAGGCCAAGTCTGAATGAATGAACCAGATGGCCACTGAATGAACCAGTTTGTGAAAGAATGAAGAGGTCAGTGAATGAATGAATGAACGCACCAGTTAGTGAATGAATGAAACAGTAGGGGAACGAATGAAAAGGTCAGTGAAGGAATGAAACAGTAGGTAAATGAATGAAGAGGTCAGTGAATGAATGAATGAACAAACCAGTAAGTGAATGAATGAA